TGATTAGCAGTAGTGATCAGAAATTACATGCTCACCCACACAACCTGATGTAATACTAAGCTTTGAGCTTACAGTGGACATGTTGGAATGCCCACTGAGCCGGAAAAACACAGAAAAGGTTTCTAGTTTGATCCCTTTAAAATGGCAAAGATTCCCTCTCATGATGTCCAGCATTTACAGTTTATAGGAAAATTATATCTGATGATATCTAAAGGAGCTAAACCAGTGATTGGAAAATTTGATGTCATTGTGACTACAGTATTCAACAAGAAGGCAGTTTGTGGTAGTGTGCGGAAAGTATATAATATAACACTGACATATAATATACACCACTGTTCAAAAATGTGGGGTTAGTAAGATTTATTTTAAAAGAAATTAATAGTTTTATTCAGCAAGGATGTGTTAAATTAACAGCAAAAACATTTATAATGTTACAAAATATTTCCATTTCAAATAAAATAATGTTTCAATTCATCAGAGAATTCTGATTAGGGTTGGGAACCTAGAACCGGTTCCGTTTTTTGAAAAGAACTGGAACCGTGAGCAATTTATAAGTTTCGGTTCCGAAAACAGTTCTGGTGCGATGCGTGACCAAGCGCTGTGAGCAGCCTTGCGCCGGCGTTTCCCGTAAAAGAAGGATGTCACAAACCAAATGACAGAGACGCCGCTCTGCCTCTTTAATTACTAAGCACATCATTTCCCATGACGCGCACTCTACAGACGCGCCGCGTCGCGTCTTTAACTGCCGAACACATCGTTTTCCACGACTATACGCGCACTCGCGTCTTTGATAACTGTGCACGTTGTTTTGTGTGACTGTATATGTGCCCCTAAATTACATTATTTGTCCCATATTGTCATTAATGTACATACTGACTTCAACTCGGACCACTACATAAATAGACTGCTATTATTATGTAAATATGAGGGTTAGATTATTTAGTGTACAGGTAATTTCAAGAGTGATAAACAGAGTGATGGAAAATATTTATTTTCATGCATTTTAAATGTTTAAAAATGTGGAAACCACTCATTGCATCACACCATCTCCTTGCTGCATTATTATTTGTAAAATAGGGGCTTAATGGAGTGTGTGTATACATGGTTATATAACAGTTAATATTTCATTAATTTAGGGAAATTAACAAGTGTCTTAGCCCTCAAGGGACTATTTGGCCAACCAGCTTATTCCTCTAAATGTTATTGATAGTGTAAAAAACATAAACTTTGAAGCACATGTGATTGATGGACTAGCATTACTCAACATTACTTACTACCTTACAGCAACACTACATGCAATGAAGGTAAATTAGTGAAAAAATAATAATAGTTAAAGGGATAGTTCACCCAAAAATGAATATTAGCCCATTATTTACTCACGCTCAAGCCATCCTAGGTATATATGACTTCCTTCTTTCAGATGAATCCAATCGGAGATATATTAAAGGGGTCATATGATGCGATTTAAATTTTTCCTTTCTCTTTGGAGTGTTACAAGCTCTTGGTGCATAAAGAAGATCTGTAAAGTTGCAAAGACTAAAGTCTCAAATCCAAAGAGATATTCTTTATAAAAGCACCAAATAATGTTCTTTTTAGCAGCATCATATGACCCCTTTAAAAATTGACTTTGATCTTCCAAGCTGTTTAATGGCAGTCAGCGGGTGTTGCAGTTCATCAGTCCAAAAGAAGTGAAATAATAAAAAGTGCCTCACACAGCTCCGGGGGGTGAAGAAAGGCCTTCTGTAGAGAATCGATGCGTATTTGTAAGAAAAATATCCATATTCAAAACGTAATAATCACTTTAATCTAGCTTGCGCCAACATTTGTACACGGAAGCAGCTCCGTGAGGATGACGTATGAGGTTAGTGCTGCGCATGTGCTGGTGAAAGTCTGGTGAAAACCAACGTTTGTTTACAGGATCAAAGGAAGCAAAGTTTCCTTACTTTAGCAAAGGAAAACCAATCTCCTCTTGGCTTATACCGAAATCCTCTGACATTCTTTACAAATCCTCATTTTGTACTTCTAATTAGTGACCATTGTTTTGTTTTGATCTCTCCCCTGCGCTTCCGCGTTTGTCACTTCTAAGCAGTGCATGCGCAAAGCTGACCTCATACGTCATCCTCTCGGAGCTGCTTTCGTGTACATCAGTGAGCGCAAACTACATTAAAGTGATTATTACGTTTTAAATATGGTTATTTTTTTTTACAAAAACGCTTCGATTCGCTACAGGAGGTCTTTCACCCCCCCCCGGAGCCGTGTGAGGCACTTTTTTATTATGGATGGATGCGCTTTATTTCACTTCTTTAGGACTGATGAACTGCAACACCCCCTGACTGCCATTAAACAGCTGGGAAGATCAAAAACAATTTTTAATATAACTCCGACTGGATTCGTCTGAAAGAAGAAAGTCATATACACCTAGGATGCCTTGAAGGTAAGTAATTAATGGGCTAATTTTCATTTTTGGGTGAACTAACCCTTTAATTTAAATGGAACCGTAATCGGAACCGGGAATCGTTAGGCAAAACTGGAACCGGAATCGGAACTGGAAAATTTCTTACGATACCTAACCCTAATCCGGGGGGAAAAATCTATCACAAGAAAAGTTTTAAGTTTTTAAAAAAATATATTACTGTTTTTACTGTATTTTTAATAAATGAATACAGCCTTGGTGAGCGTAAGACAATTAAACATTTTTACCAACCTCTAACTTTTGAATGGTAATGTATATTTAAGTTAATTAATGCTGTTATGCTCTTTTTTTATTGTTATGTTTCATATTGTGCATAAGTTATATAACCCCACGTTTATGATACTTTCATGCTACTCTGTGACTGGAAGTTTGGAAGTGAATCTGCATCTATAAAAGTTCGCGAATGACTCCAAAGTGTTTGATTCATGGCTCTGCTCTCTCTATAGAACACATGAAACAACTCGCCTGTGTCTGTACTTGCCACGGGTGCTGCTTTGAGGAGTGGAGATTGACCTCTAGGTCACTTGGGACAGCATGTCTGAGCGTGTGCTTTCAGGACACATATGCCTTCTGTTGTTTCATGCAACCACTTCAACAAACTCTCTTACACTGGATGGATTAAATCAATATTAAATGCCTTTATATCTACCTATTTAATACAACACACACAAAAAAAGAAAAGGTGTTTCATAACATTTAAACTGATTTTAAAAAAAAATACATTTTCGAGTGTAAATCACATACCCTAGTTCAGACAGAGGAGGAGGCCTCAGGAATTCAATTTACCCTGGAGTGTCAAATGAACTGCCTGCTGCAGTCTGTTGGGTCAGAGTTCACACCAAAAGTCTGCCCCCTCCCCGTATCACACACACACAGTCAAAGACATTTATGAGCACAGATGGTTAATGGCTATCTTGTTTAACACGAATAGCTACAAACTTCTCGTTCTCCTGTGCCGCCGTCTCCCAATGAAGATGATGTAACAGTATAATATAACAGTCTAGACAATGGACAGCTGCTAGCTCCTGAACCCTTGTCTTATGCAAACTCATTAGGTTATGGGATCGTTTCTGAAATCCATTCATTAAGTAGTTAGACCTAATTTAAACAAAGATCCTATGACCTTTATAGGATCTTTATTTAATTGCAGTTTACTAAGTACACACAAATTAATTGTGTACTAATTAGTGTGTAAATTAAATATCTTTCAATAAGAAAAATCATTTGCATGTGTGCAAAAAAAAGAGTGCATGTTGACATACTATTTATTATGAGATTTGAATTATTATTTCTGACAGCTTCTGTTTTCAGCGGTACATTTCCTCCAGTTTATTCCTCTAAATTGATTAAGGTTCTCTCTCCAAACTTTCCGTCACGCTCTCTTCTCTCCGGGAATGTGTTTCCTGTGGTCCGCTGGCCGATTGGTCCGCTGTCTTCCGGGAATACGCGGATTGGAAGCCAGCGCTCGACATCTGGAAGGGAGGAGAGTAGTGATGGGAAGTCCGAATCATTTATGCGAATCGGTTCTTTCGAACAGTTTGTCAGTGAGCCGGTTAAAAGCAATTCACTGGTTCTTTTACGTCATCGCCTTGTATCTGACGTCTCGGCAAGATATATTTGCTATACATGTGCAATAATATATTGCTTCCAGTAAACTACAAACTTGCAAAGTTTAATGACAGCAACTGCTCCTTTTGTGATCACTTAAAAAACATCTTATAAACAATATTTTGGAATTGTGTTTTGGATTGAGCTTTCTAATTTTGATAAAAAAGAATTTAACCCACTCTTGCGTATTGGCTATAAATGTTTGTTTTGTGGTTACTCTTTGAAAAGCATTTAGAGCATTATATGAAGATTACAATAATTTTATTACTATGCCTTGCAAAAAATTAAAATTCATAAATGTACATTTATATAAAAAAAAAGAAAAATGAAAAAGAAATGTGTAATGTGTTGGTGTATATTTGAATTATTCAAATAACTAAAAGTTTAATAATGTGTTTTAGTTCATTTCATAATTTCATATAACCCTCTACGAATATTTTTATTGTCTTACTCTTTTTTTTTGTCTGAATGCTGTATATATCCTTGTTGCAATAAAAGGGCATATATTGCCTGTATTTTGTTTGTTTGTTTTTATTAACAAGGATGTTTATTGTAGGCCTAGTTCATGTACCACAGTTAAACTCATTGCAGTCGTTTACCAGCTCATAAAAACATAAATTTAGGCTAGAAGCTACATAAAATTTACATTTACATTAAACAACAGTAATATTAATTTTCATCACTCATCACAGTTTTTGGATGCATTTATTTAATGTCGACCTCCCTGGTTTTCGGCTCTTTACGAACCGTGAATTCCCAGCTGAAGGTTCTCAGTTTAATGAATTGTTGACTCAAGAACCGCACGGACCGATTTTTCGTGAACGAATCATTCAGAAAGGCCTTGCGAACCGGTCAATTCATTCAAACGATTCGACTCAAATGAACGACTCTCGAGAATCGGACATCGCTAGAGGAGAATAAACGAGAGAGGTAAAGCAGAAAAAAAGGAGGAGAACGAGAGAGGGTGCTGACATCTGAGGTGAGTGATGTGCTATGCCAAAATATTTAACCTGGACATGAGAGCAGCTGATTTATGATTCGAGAACATTCAATTCTTGTCGTTTGCCACTTTTGTTGGTAATGAGTTTGAAAGGTTGGAAATATGAAGTTGTAGACGTGCTTCGCCCAAACAGCGATAGCAGAAGGCGGATAGACGCCTCGGCAGATGGGTTGCTGACTAACTGTTTCGAATATGATCGTTACATTATACGAACGCTCGTGCTTTGCTACAGTAACAAACACGTTATCGCTTGATACATAGTAGCGATTTGACGCGTATTTGCTGCTGTTATATCCAGTTCGTTTCAGTTGCGATGGAATGGGGGTAAACGGGGGTCGCAGCCCTGCTTCTGAATTTCGCTTGACTTAACCGCTCACTTTGTGCTTCGCTGTTGATCCTTCAGTTTTACAATTAATGTCACTTAAACATTAGGATGTGTGGTATTTAATAAGTGGGACGTTTATTTCGCCACGGTTATTTTTACGCGCCTCGCCTCGCAGGTCTATGGCAGGCTCCGGCCCCCTGTTCAAGGCCAGGCCAATGGAAAAGTCAAAGCAGATGGAATCGATAGTCTCTCATACAGGGCTGAGGCAAACGCGCTTGTTTGTTTAAGTTAAAGAACCCAACATGTGTGTTTGAAAGAATCGTTACTAGTATGAGCCCGTTGGCCTGTGTCCGCTGTAGGTGCGCGGCGCGTCGCGTCGCAGTGGCGAGACCCTCGTGTTGTTTCATGACGCCCGTTCTGCTCCAAGAGCAGACATGTTCTCTATAAGACCATCTCACATTCTCCGCTCCTTCCAGCCGTGTGCAGAACTACAATAGCCAATTATACTGTAGAAATCGTTCACAGTAAGGCGATTGCGATCACTTACTGTACTATAATTCATGGGCTGAAATGTAGAAGGCATATGCAACATTGAGAGCAGCTTTGGGAATTGTTGTTACTTCAAAGCTGGTTGCTGCATTTCTGGAAAGCAGTGTTGTTGCCAGATGAAATGGTAGTGGTGGTGGTTGTCAGTATTCGTCCTGTTTATTTATGAACTTGTAAGTGTGTTTGTAAACTATACGCGGTCATTTCCACTGAGTTGCGTCCCTGCGCCTTCCACTGTAACCCACTAGAGATGTGGGGTGTGATTGCTTCATGGGTTTGACTTTCCTCTGATTGCTGCACTATTAATAAGCTCTTGCGTTGGTCATGAATAGAAATATTATTAACAGTCTGATATAGAAATGTATAAACATGAATACTAGTAATATATAGCCTATATTAATATTAATAATATATAGGACAGTAAGGCCCCAGTGAAAATGTTGTAGGCTATCTTTCTAATTTAAAGGGATAGTTCACCCAAAAATGAAAATTCTCTAATTTTTGTCATTTTTCAAATTGTCAAGTTTCAGAAAGTAATAAAGGCATTATAACAGTCATATAAAATATGAATTGAGCAATTTATACCAACTTTTCTGAAGAGACGCAATTACGTTATATGATGAAGTTTTTAGTTTAGGTTTTTATTCACATATAAATATTGATGAACATGCATACTTTAAGCACAAGAAACAATAAGGTTTGTTCTAATGTGTTAAGTCAATGTTTATATGTGAATAAAAACCTAAATCATTATCAGTGGTTATATAGACTTTCAATGAATGGACAAAAATGATGAGAGAATAATAAAAATATCTTCATATGTGTTCTGAAGATGAATGAAAGAATATTGTGTTTGGAATGACATGAAGCTAAATAAATGATGATAAAATTACTAGCCCTGGCCTGAACTAGCCCATTAATGAAAATAATATTGTGAGGCCAGCATAATTTTGATTGGAAAAAGGCATTCAAATTCAGATTCATTTGTGAACATGAAAAGAGAAAATTATATGAGAGAAAATATATATATATTTTTTTTTTTTGAAAAATGTATTTTTCAGGACTTCCAGAGTTAACTTGTTAAAATAAGATTTTAATTAAAAGTTAAATGAAATAGACTAATTATTTAAATATATTTTCCAAATATATTTCTTTCTGCTTTGTTTCTTGCTGCTTTCGAAAGACTTCATGAGATTAATAACAAATATCCTATTAATAAGTATTTCATTGTTTGTAGGAAATAAAAACAAAATGTGTTTTATGTTGAAGGACTATACATACATTATCTCTAATAGTGGATAGAAAAAATAAATACTTAATATAGGATAAGTATTCTCTAGATAATATTTCTTTATATCACACTTAAAAAAATGTTTTCACAGTCTACATAAAAATATATAGCTGTCATTGATTTTTAGGAAGGCGGTCAACTGCAAGGGGACTGTAATGTGAAAGTCCCTGATTTAGCCTATATGATAATCTCAGTTATTTGGTATATTTCTGGTTGGTTTGAATGTGTTTAGAAAATATGGTCTCAGACTTTTGGACCCCCCAGTAGTTGCTATAAAAGAGTATAAAAATTGCTACTTTGTGCCATATTTTAGATAATCTAATCTAAGTCTTTGTATCATATTGTATCCATAAAAACTGTGAGCACATAGTATGCATAATGGAGGAAATCTTAGTGTAAACCTCTGTCTTTTTCAGTGGCTCTTGTCTTTTTTAAACCCAATTCTTGATCTTCTAAACTTGACTTTTATCCCTTCACTTCGTGCCTGTCTGTTGTGCAACAGCAGCTCAGTTCAGTCGGGTATAGTGAAAATATATCCTTGTTAAGGATTCCGATTTCCTTGTGCTCTGGTTGGGATAAGGTCGATGCTTTGGGAATGAGAGCCTTCTGGAATGTTTTGCTGAGGGCTGTTGTGGTCATAAAGTCTTATTTCTAGAGCCAGTGCTCGTCAGGATTTGTTGTATGATGCAATGTTTGTTATATCATTCATCATGGGTTATATTTTGGCCAACTGTTAGCACAAAGCCATGCCATATTATCTGGTTTCTCAGTGCACAGATTGCCAGCCTATGCAGAAACATGATTTTGTTTGGGTGTAAATGTGTTTGTTGTCACAGGATATTTAGACTGGTGGTAGTCAGACATTATTGTAGGTTAAAGAGTGATGTATATATTTAGGGTATATGGCGGCTGCCTCATTGGATGTTCATAAACTAGCATTTTTGGTATGTGACAGCCTGAAATTGTCATATAACAGTCAAGACAGAAGAACACCTAAGGTTAATAATGGCAGTATGACCCATTTTACAATTTGGATGTAGACTATTTAACATTTCAGTCATTTCTTAGTGCACAATTCCTATACACATTTAAGAGTATTTGCAGAAACATTTAAAAATTAAAACGTGTGTAAAATCAAATACGTTTAGTGCTAGATAAATCTTCAAATCGCTACCTGTGATTTAGACTCTCTCTACTGAATTGACTTTGGCAGTGCTGACTATTGCCAAATCTCATTATATTTTATAGATCACTTTTTCCATGTTCAGGATCCTTCTGTCTTTTTCAGACTTTCAAAATGAAGGACTGCTAATATTTTGTAACAAAAGATTAATCTGAATTTTCCAAATTCAAAACAAGCTAAGCTCTGTCAACTTCCTTTGTAAAGGCATTAGTGTAAACATTACTTTTGCCCATTTTACAAACAAAGGGGCAAATTATTTTCTGTTGGCACAGATGCTGTAGATATCATGTGTTAAACCCGGAACATTGCTTCATATGATGCAGCAGCTGCCGTCGTGTTTATACTGCTCGGCCTGCACATTTCCGTTTTTACATTGCTTTTGATTGCATGGCTCAACAATAAGTTTTTTTTTTTTTCAGATTTTTATTTGCACTTCCCATATTTTCACTTGCATCACACACACATATATATATATATATATATATATATATATTTTTAGCTAAAGTAGCCACAGGCTACTTTGAAGCAACTTCATTTTGGTCAAATTAATTCGTTTTAATTGCCCCACCACAAAAATGTATTTTATAAGATACATTTGCCAAGAAAAAATATATATCTTTTGAATTTTTAAAATAAAGGGCTTTAATTTGCTTCTTTTAATTACTTAATAGGTAGAAATGACAAAGCTGTTAACACCATTCTAAACAAACGTTGATTTGTGTGTAATTGTTTAATTTAATTAGCCTATGTTGTTTTCAACCCATTCTAACTAACGCTTTCAAGACTGTCTTACAATTTAATTTTGACAAAACCTCATTGCTAGCCAGCTACCTATGTTTAAATATACAGAATCACAACAACATTCAGAAAATGTTTAAAAGTCTATGGGGCCTAAAAAGATCAACGAATGTAAGATGAAGTGAGATTGCGGCACAGCCCTAAACTCTCACGCTGGCCTCGAACCAGCAGGCCATCCTTATTGTTGGGCTTTGGAATGTATGAGACTGATATTTTCTTATTCTGTTTTTGTATATGTATTTGTATAGTTTTTGTGAAAAAAAAAAATATAAAAGAGTAAACTCTAAAAACTTGAAATATATTAGGCTAGATATTTAATAAATTCTAAATATCTCATATTTCTCACCCATTTTACATATCCATTTATTCTGCACGCTTTCTTATTCCATTGCTCTCTTTGACTCTCTATCTTTCTTTATCACCAACACACAGACATACACATCACCAGCAGCAGACTGGAGAGATATGACTTTGTCAGTGTATTGGTAACCATCTTCATACAGGATCTGGTATCCTTGTTGCAGCCTGTGTGTTTTTTTTAGGTAAGCGATGTGATGTCACTGCTAATAGCAGCGCCCTCTGGGCATACTCTGTGTGTGTGTGTGTGTGTGTGTGTGTGTGTGTGTGTGTTGGTTTATATTCCAGCAGGCTGCTGCACTATGTCTCTGTCTCCCTCTTTAAGGGTCTGGACTTGCTGACTGAGGAAAAAGTGAGTCAGAGGGGGATAGAGAGAGAGAGAGAGAAGGGGGCCGAGAGGGTGGTGCTGTGGAGAGACTGCAGCTGATGGCTGAGAGGGGGGTGTATGTAGTACAGGGGTACATCTGCACCGTCGGGTT